GGTGTCGTGTATAGTAACTGTTGTATATGTTTCTAATCCTGTTCCATCTACTCTCTGTGAGACTTACATTTATTGGACGGATTAACAATAGGCTGGGCAGTAATACTGCATTTTTTTAACCTGTTTTTATCCTATAGCAAATAACAAAAATATGATAAAAAAAAATCACTGTACATAATGATTAACGCACTACAGCACAAAACCGACTTCCATAATCGTCGGTATCGACGGAGGAAGTTTAAAAGATGAAGATGAAGATAAAAGGGCCTATGACCGATTTAAACGCTTTCAATGGTACTCACTGAAAACATGCAGCTAACATATTGAATAATGTATTTCTAAGTTCGCTGATATCCCTTAAAAAGGTCGAACCTTAACTAAGTGATTTCCTGTCATCAAAACCCTGGCCCCACAACACCTTAAAAGGGTTATAATTAACAAGGACTTGACAAAACAACAACAAGCCGATAGAAAAACAAGAGAACACAACCACCACAAAAGATGGATTCGGACCCTACCCCCAAGCTACAGCCAACGGTGTGATTAGCCCAATCGGCAGACCTAGTTCACTAGTAGACCATACAGAACCAAAAACATTGGCTGATGATACTATGATGGATATGGACAATACTATCCTAAATATGGGCGGTCATCTCAATTCCTTCGGAAATGAGGACATCACTCAAATCTACAGCCAGGAAACATTACTGGACAACATGGGTCATCAGGAATCTATTTTTGCCCTAGGGTAACCAGAAGTGAACATAGAATAGGAACACGGTTTTATCAATTGTACAAAGAGCTTGAAGATTATCTACGCTAATGTGGACACTCTTTCCAAAACCAAAAAAATGTGAATTAGAAACATTAATCCAACGGGACTCACCTGGCTTAATTTATATAACTGAAGTCCTTCCCAAGATACTCCTGAACAATACAACATAGAAGGTTAGGATCTACATATAAGTTTATATAACTGAGGTCCTTCCCAAAATACTCCTGAACAATACAATATAGAAGGTTAGGATCTACATATAAGTTTGTATAACTGAAGTCCTTCCCAAAATACTCCTGAACAATACAATATAGAAGGTTAGGATCTACATATAAGGTTATATAACTGAAGTCCTTCCCAAGATCCTCCTGAACAATACAACATAGAAGGTTAGGATCTACATATAAGTTTGTATAACTGAAGTCCTTCCCAAAATACTCCTGAACAATACAATATAGAAGGTTAGGATCTACATATAAGGTTATATAACTGAAGTCCTTCCCAAGATCCTCCTGAACAATACAACATAGAAGGTTAGGATCTACATATAAGGTTATATAACTGAAGTCCTTCCCAAGATCCTCCTGAACAATACAACATAGAAGGTTAGGATCTACATATAAGTTTGTATAACTGAAGTCCTTCCCAAAATACTCCTGAACAATACAATATAGAAGGTTAGGATCTACATATAAGTTTTTATAACTGAAGTCCTTCCCAAGATACTCCTCAACAATACAACATAGAAGGTTAGGATCTACATATAAGGTTATATAACTGAAGTCCTTCCCAAGATACTCCTGAACAATACAACATAGAAGGTTAGGATCTACATATAAGGGGTTGGGGAGGAAGAGGTGTACTAAATCTATGGATTTCTTGGACACTGTGATACATCAACAATTTCAAGACTCAGTCTGGTGTGAACTAAACCTGACAAACAGAGACAAATTAATTATTGGATGTAAATATCTTGCCCCAACAGTACTACAGATAACAACGTAAATCTAGCCAAACTACTCGGAGAAATCTAAATTTAAAACCAACTCACCTTCTAATTGTGGGGGATTTTAACCATAAAGATATCAACCGATGTAGGACATGACCACCCTGCTACACTTTTTTTAGAAACGGTCAGGGACTTATTCTTAACCCAACATGTGAAATCACCAACAAGATACAGGGAAGGTAACGCCCCCTCAATTCGGGATCTAATCTTGACCAACAAAGAAAACATGATCGATAGTGATGACATTACCACGTTACCAAGCATCGGAAAGAGTGACCCTGTTACCTTGTGTTTTAACTAAATGTGCTACATTGAAACGAAAGAAACCAAAAGGAAAGACAACATTAACTATCACAGAGGAAACTACCCAGTTATCTGTGAGGGCCTTAAATTAGTCAACTGGGACCAGCTAGACAATTTGGATAATTTGGACGACACATGGAACGCCTTTGTTGTAACATTACAAGATAATATACAAAAACATATACCGGTGAACAAGGCATCAAATGTGAAGTCTAAACGACGACCACTCGACCCATTAACACTACAAGCTGTACGGAAAAAACACCAAACCTGGACTAAATATTTACACTGTAAAACACCAGAGAAAAAGATAAAATTTAGAGAAGCAAGGAATAACGCCACAGCTTGTTTGAGGAGTTCCAAATGAATTTATAAACATAATCTAGCTGACGACACTAAAGTTAATCCGAAACGGTTTTGGAAATATGTGCGATCAAAAACAAAGACTAAATCAGGAACCAACACACTAGAAAAATCTTATGGTAGTTTGACGACATCTGACCAAGAAACAGCAGAAACTTTAAACAACTACTTCTCTACAGTGTTTGTCAACGACCTGACAGGTGACATTCCGCTTATGATTAATAAGCAGCCAAACGAGCATCTCCTCGAAATAGATATCACAGAGGATCTTGTTGAAAAAGCCATTAAAAATATCAACCCAAACAAAAGCCCTGCATCCGACGGACTACATCCAAAACTTTACTACGAGACGGCATCCGAGATAAAAAAAATAAAATAAAAAAATAAAATATTCAGGAAATCTCTTGACGAAGGTACTATCCCATCGCCATGGACATTGGCCAACATTACTCCAATCTTCAAAAATGGATCAAAAAAGAAAGCTAACAACTACCGTCCAATTAGCTTAACACCCATAGCAAGCAAGATCATGCAACGGATAATAAGGGATGCACTCCTTGAACATATGGAGGGAAACAACTTTTTTACTGAATGCCAACATGGATTCAGAAAAGGAAAATCTTGTACCACTCAATCACTAGAATGTTTGGAGGACTGGACACAGGCCTTAGACAATGGAGATTCAACTGGCATCATCTACTTAGACTACTGCAAGGCCTTCAACAAGGTTTTCCATAGGAGACTTTTACACAAACTCAAATCATATGGTGTTGGAGGTGCAGTACTAAATTGGATACAAGGATTTCTCCATAACTTAAAACAACAAGTCGTCATCAATGGCTCTATATCATCACAAACACAGGTCACCAGCTGGGTCCCACAGGGGAGTGTAATTGGACCTATTCTGTTTCTGATCTTCATCAATGACTTTCCAAACAACATCAGTAGCTCAACCAAACTATTTGCAGACGACTCCAAAATATACAGGAAAGTTGGAAGTGACTCGGATCGTGATAGCCTACAGAAGGATCTGGACTCTGTATGCATTTGGACTAACACTTGGCTCATGAAACTGAACATCGACAAATGTAAACACCTTAGGATTGGAAAATTTTAAGATAAACAAGAACAATACTATAAAATCAAACAAGACCAGTTGACTACAAATATTAAGGCTGTCACAAATGAAAAAGACCTCGGAGTTATTATTGATAATAAACTGAAGTTCAACGAACACATATCAAAAGCAGTATGAAAGGCCAACTGGAACTTGGGACTAATATTTAGAACATTTACGTTCATCGACCAAAACATGTTTATAACACTCTACAAATCCTTGGTAAGACCACATTTGGAAAATTCAACAGTCACATGGTCACCGTACTTGAAAAAAGACAAAATTCTAGTGGAAAATGTTCAACATCGTGCAACCAGATTAGTACCATGTCTCAAAGACCTGAGCTACCCCGAAAGACTGCTTAAGTTAGGGCTTCCAACGCTAGAATACAGACGTATCAGAGCGGATGTGATCGAATTATTCAAATTTATGGAGGAAATTGACATTGTAGATCAGGACAAAATAATTATAAGAGCGCGTCCCGTTGGAACACGAGGAAATAGCAGAAAGCTGTTCAAGAGGAGAACAAATAAGGCCATATATAGTAACTTCTTTAGCAATAGAGTTGTAGAGGTGTGGAACAGTCTACCCGATAATGTGGTCAATTCTCCAACTGTGTACACTTTTAAGAACAGACTGAATAAATTCTGGTCGGATCACCCAACAAAATTCCGCGCAAGTTGTTATTCCTGACATTAGTAGGTCTATCTATACGCACCGGAAGTGAAAAGTGTTTTTAACAAGCATTTTAACATATATTCAAACGCGCCACAAGAAGCTCACAGCTTTCAATCGACGTCATCGCTATATGAACTATATGAACTTGTAGACGCTATTCGGCGAACTCTCTCCGCTGGACCGGATAGGTTTTAATCACAGCAATTAAATCCGCTCACTAAACTGTTGTCTGTGACTCGAAACAGACCTACTCTGATGAATAGATATTATTGACTTTAAATGGAAAAATATGTTAACTGAATGCAAAACCAGTCATTTGATACTGTAAGTGTGATTTGTTTAAACGGTTTACCTTTAAACCCCATAACGAAATGATTGCGTCCGTTTTGTATAATAAATACTCATCAATATATAATTAGGAACGTTGAATTTTTTCATTGTTCTATATATGGTAACATAATAACTATATTGAATATACCCTACGCGAACTCTTTAAGCACATTAACAAAAAAAAGCACCCTTAATCTTTTAAACTTTTGAATTATTCAATAGTAGGTGTAATACGGCTCTGCGGGTGGATTACGGTGGTTGGTTGGTAAGGCGGGTAGCGAAACACACCTGAACGGCACTTAGACACAGCACGTGCAATGGAAGTTTAATCTCTCTGTTGTTCGTTAATAGGCAACAGTGAACGGCTAAATTTGTGAAGCAACTGTTACGTAAAGGTCATTTCCCCGTCGTGTACCATTGACCAGTACTGTCCAGGACTGTCCACCACCCGTCACTCTCACTGGTGGAACGTCTTCGGAATCTTCCCTGTGTCCAGTCGGAAAACGGTCAGTAAATCTTTGTTTATATTTACTAACTATATACATTTTATTGTACAATACTTTGGGACTTACGTGTAGGACATCAAGATAAGTGTTTGTGTATACTGTAAGTTATAGTTTGTACGTACCAGCTCACGAGACGTGTTCATCACGTCACATATACGTAATAGTCCACCTAAAGTATGGCGGGTTTCGGTCGACATTAGGTGAAGGCGATATATATCAAAGAGCGCTGTCGATCATGTGTTTCACCAAATACATTATGATATATAACATGTATCATATATGTTATTATGTGTCTGGTAAAATATATATGTAATGTGTTTTCTAAAAATATATAAGATATCGTGTTTAAAATTTATTATAAGATATGTTACATGTGTATAGAAATTTGTCTTAAAGTTATCTTATACTGAACGAGATTTCATTTTGAAATGAAATACTCTCCCGACTGAAAATGTCGAAAAATTCAGAGCAAACAAAGTCTTTATGATTACAGTATGATGCGGTTTACGCTGGGTTGTTTAGATTAATGTTTATAAGCTTACCTGGGTTGTTTAGATTTATGTTTATAAGCTAACCAATTTAAGGGGTCACCTTTACAAAGAATATCTACGTTTATGTCGCAATTCTAATTCGGTAATGAGTGTTCTTCGTTAATTTGAATACAAATGACAAATAAGGAAAAAATGATAACAATCTCCACAGGGATGCCTACGTCTACAGTCGGCTGAATCTATTAGATTTGCTCAGAAAAAATCATAGTTTAATGAGCTAGCTCGATTTCTAAGACGACAAAGGAGTATTTTAATTTTCTGGGTACATAGTTTACGAAATGCTTGCTAAACAATTTATTTACTATCATAGACTTCTTTACATTAGACTTGAAAGAATTTAGTGAGAGTGAGTTTCTTGTGTTGTTTCAGTGTTGTTCAAGTTGTTCCGGAATTGTAATGTGGAAGGAAAGAAAGAATTTTTTGATAGTTGTAAACGGAAGTGCTGTTCCCGCAGTAAATGTGCATTTCGCAATTTATACGGAGCTATATTTCCAATATACATTGGTAATAAGTCAGTAAGAAATTCAGGAGCCATGTTATTTACTAAAGAATAAAACAAAGACAGTTTCCGAGCATCTCTTCTTTTCGAAAGGGGTAACCACCCGGTTTCTTGATATGGATTTTTTCTAGTAACAGGGCATTTGTTTCACCGCAGTTGTCCCATACTTCACATGCATATTCCAGTAGTGGTCGAACATAAGTAAGATATAGTTTTCTTTTTAAAATAAGTTTTAGTTTACGAAGGGTTGCTATATATTTGGTTACTTTACTTTACAATATATTCAACACGAACATTCCATTTACAGTCGTTAGTAAGAATAACACCTTAGTGCTTATGCTGGTTAGTAAATTTTAATGGAAGTGTTGTCAAAGGTGAATGCAGGGATACGTTTTATAATATATATATCTTGTATAATTTTACACGGGATTAACATTACTCGTTGTACATATTGTGAGGGAGAGGTGTGAGAGTACGGGAGGTTAGAGAAGGGATATATACACACTGATGATATATTGAATTCCAGAGTTCTTAGACTAAATCCCAGCTCGGCTCAGTTTCATTTCCTCTCTTGATAGATTGGCAATTGGTGCCCCATAAAATATACCATGTAAGATCATATATAAAGTTAAGTTCGTACATGTATGTCTCTGCGGAAAACGAGTTTGTTACCGGAGAACATCCGCTTTTTTGAAGAATGAGCGAGTAATGCGTATGTGTGGAGGGGTATCTATCGTTTCTGTCCTTCATTTTTTCCTTTTATATCTATGTCTTCTTGTGCATCTCTCACATGTATCTACATCGTTACAGATGTTAATTTGACGAGCAGAATATACCGGAACTGACGATGTCGCTACTATTCCTAAATACCCGTAACCCCACGTGGCAGGACCGAACGGTCAATGTGGAAGTGATGCTGGCACCGGCTAGGAACCAGCTCCTCATGAACAAACACAAGACTCTTGGTAGTAAATGCCTGAAGGCACAACGCCTATACGACAAGGAGCGAGAATCCATGTTAAAGAACATAGTTATTGAGAAAAGGATAATGGAAAGAAAACAACAGGTACTATCGAGGAAAAAATCCGATATTATGATGAATCGCGTCTCCTCTAGTGTGTGTTCTGATAGACAGATCAGTACACCCGTTCTTACAGTGTGCTCTAAACGGGGTGGCTCGGCACCGGCCAAACTCGGCTGGGCAGAAAAAAATACGAACAAACCAGGCGTGTTTTTAACGGAAGTGGCAGGGGCGGGAGAACTTCGGTCTCAATCTGTAGCTCCAGCGGAAAGAGACAAACAGTGGAAACAGTCCTCGTCACCCTCACACGGTAATCTAAGCAAGAAAGCCGTGGGCTCAGCTTCTCAGCTGTCAATGTCCTCTCGACGTGTAATCTCCCCTTTTGGATCCAAGCGTTCTTCAAAGAGAATTAAGTCCGTGAGGTTTAACGACATTCGTGATCATGAGAATCAGGAAACAGACAATTACCCATCCAGACCTTGTGTTGACGGGCTAGTACAGCAGTTCGTTCAGACTCAGGCCGAGTTTAATCAGAGACCAGTGACAGGTAGCCGTAACCAGTGGACAAAGAGGCCGGACACAAACTCGCCATTGGTCGCCAAGCGATATTCAACCCTCAGCGTAAACAATAATAAACTCATTAACGCATTTGACAATTTCTGTTTAGACAAGAACAAGGAAGACTTCCAAAAACTTGTGAGACTCGCTTCTAAACTAAAGTCATCAGTGAAAATGGCGCGGAACCAATCGGTAGTTCCCCCTGTAGCCGCTCTACGATCACGGAAAGCGTTCATGGAAAAGATAAAAAAATCCGAGGACACGAACTCGTAGTCTAGATGGATAATATTTGTGATGATGTAATGTAAGATGATATGTTAATGTATGGATGTGTTGTCAGACGATATCTCAATGTAAGGTCGTGTTGTCAGATGATATATTAATGTATGGATGTGTTGTCAGATGATATCTCAATGTATGGTTGTTGTCAGATAATATCTTAATGTATAGATGCATTGTCAGATGATATCTTAATGTAAGGACGTGTTGTCAGATGATATCTTAATGTATGGACGTTTTGTCAGATGATATCTTAATGTATGGTGGTGTTGTCAGATAATATCTCAATGTAAGGATGTCTTGTCAGATGATATCTCAATGTACGGATGTGTTGTCAGTTGATATCTCAATGTATGGATGTGTTGTCAGATGATATATTAATCTAAGGACGTATTGTCAGATGATATGTTAATGTAAGGAGGTGGTGTCAGATGATATCTCAATGTACGGATGGGTTGTCAGATGATATGTTAATGTATGGACGTTTTGTCAGATGATATCCTAATGTATGGATGTGTTGTCAGCTGATATCTTAATAGGTGTATGTGTTGTCAGATAATATCTCAAGGTATGGTTGTGCTGTCAGATAATATCTCAATGTAAGGAAGTCTTGTCAGATGATATCTCAATGTACGGATGTGTTGTCAGTTGATATCTCAATGTATGGATGTGTTGTCAGATGATATATTAATCTAAGGACGTATTGTCAGATGATATGTTAATGTAAGGAGGTGTTGTCAGATGATATCTCAATGTACGGATGTGTTGTCAGATGATATCATCTTAAGGGGTGTATGTGTTGTCAGATGATATATTAATGTAAGGACGTATTGTCAGATGATATGTTAATGTAAGGAGGTGGTGTCAGATGATATCTCAATGTACGGATGGGTTGTCAGATGATATGTTAATGTATGGACGTGTTTTCAGATGATATCTTAATGTAAGGATGTGTTGTCAGATGATATCTTAATGTATGGACGTTTTGTCAGATGATATCTTAATGTATGGACGTTTTGTCAGATGATATCTTAATGTATGGTGGTGTTGTCAGATAATATCTCAATGTAAGGATGTCTTGTCAGATGATATCTCAATGTACGGATGTGTTGTCAGTTGATATCTCAATGTATGGATGTGTTGTCAGATGATATATTAATCTAAGGACGTATTGTCAGATGATATGTTAATGTAAGGAGGTGGTGTCAGATGATATCTCAATGTACGGATGGGTTGTCAGATGATATGTTAATGTATGGACGTTTTGTCAGATGATATCTTAATGTAAGGATGTGTTGTCAGATGATATCTTGATGTATGGGCGTGTTGTCAGATGATATCTTAATGTAAGGATGGGTTGTCAGATAATATATTAATGTACGGATGTGTTGTCAGATGATATCTTAATGGGTGAATGTGTTGTCAGATGATATGTTAATGTAAGGATGTGTTGTCAGATGATATATTAATGTAAGGATGTGTTGTCAGATGATATGTTAATGTATGGACGTGTTGTGTGATGATATCTCAATGTACGGATGTGTTGTCAGATGATATATTAATGTAAGGACGTATTGTCAGATGATATGTTAATGTAAGGATGTGTTGTCAGATGGTATATTAATGTAAGGATGTGTTGTCAGATGGTATATTAATGTAAGGATGTGTTGTCAGATGACATGTCAATGTAGGGATGTGTTGTCAGATGATATGTTAATGTATGGGCGTGTTGTGTGATGATATCTCAATGTATGGATGTGTTGTCAGATGATATATTAATCTAAGGACGTATTGTCAGATGATATGTTAATGTAAGGATGTGTTGTCAGATAATATATTAATGTACGGATGTGTTGTCAGATGATATCTTAATCGTAGTCTAGATGGATAATATTTGTGATGATGTAATGTAAGATGATATGTTAATGTAAGGATGTGTTGTCAGATAATATATTAATGTACGGATGTGTTGTCAGATGATATCATCTTAAGGGGTGTATGTGTTGTCAGATGATATATTAATGTAAGGACGTATTGTCAGATGATATGTTAATGTAAGGACGTGTTGTCAGATGATATATCAATGTACGGATGTGTTGTCAGATGATATCTCAATGTAAGGATGTGTTGTCAGATGACATGTCAATGTAGGGATGTGTTGTCAGATGATATCTCAATGTAAAGATATGTTGTCAGATGATATCTCAATGTACGGATGTGTTGTCAGATGATATGTTAACGTACGGATGTGTTGTCAGATGATATCTCAATGTACGGATGTGTTGTCAGATGATATGTTAATGTACGGATGTGTTGTCAGATGATATGTTAATGTACGGATGTGTTGTCAGATGATATCTTAATGTAAGGATGTGTTGTCAGATGATATCTTAATGTATGGACGTGTTGTCAGATGATATCTTAATGTAAGGATGTGTTGTCAGATAATATATTAATGTATGGACGTGTTGTCAGATGATATGTTAATGTACGGATGTGTTGTCAGATGATATCTCAATGTAAGGATGTGTTGTCAGATGATATATTAATGTAAGGACGTATTGTCAGATGATATCTCAATGTAAAGATATGTTGTCAGATGATATCTCAATGTACGGATGTGTTGTCAGATGATATGTTAATGTACGGATGTGTTGTCAGATGATATGTTAATGTACGGATGTGTTGTCAGATGATATCTTAATGTAAGGATGTGTTGTCAGATGATATCTTAATGTAAGGACGTGTTGTCAGATGATATCTTAATGTATGGATGTGTTGTCAGCTGATATCTTAATGGGTGTATGTGTTGTCAGATGATATCTCAATGTATGGTTGTGTTGTCAGATGATATCTTAATGTATTGATGTGTTGTCAGATGATATGTTAATGTACGGATGTGTTGTCAGATGATATAATAATGTAAGGACGTGTTGTCAGATGATATCTTAATGGGTGTATGTGTTGTCAGATGATATCTTAATGTAAGGACGTTTTGTCAGATGATATCTGAATATATGGATGTGTTGTCTAGATACATGTTATTGTTTTATCTGTTACTGTAAAGATTATGACATTGTATAGCGCTAAATGTAGCAGCCAGGGAATAGGAGGGGGTTTTAATGGCAAGCTAGCTTTTCCAGTCATGCGCTTTAAGCCTGGAACTTGCTCACTTATTCAGCAAGGCCGAGCGAGGTCAATGGCTGGATGGGTGCCCGACCGCTAATTTCATCATGTTACTCTAAAGCGTGATGTATGATGACATGTTACTCTAAAATGTGTTGTACGATAACCGTGTTGTATGATTACCGTGTTGTACGATGACCTGTTACTCTAAAACTTGGTGTATGATGACATGCTACTGTTTAAATGTGTTGTATGATTACTGTGTTGTATGATTACCGTTTTGTATGATGACATGTTACTGTACAAATGTGTTGTATGATTACCGTGTTGTACGATGACCTGTTACTCTAAAACTTGGTGTATGATGACATGCTACTGTTTAAATGTGTTGTATGATTACTGTGTTGTATGATTACCGTTTTGTATGATGACATATTACTGAATAAATGTGTTGTATGATTACCGTGTTGTATGTTACTGTACAAATGTGTTGTATGATTACCGTGTTGTACGATGACCTGTTACTGCATAGATGTGTTGTATGATGACATGTTACTGTATAAATGTGGTGTATGATGACCTGTTACTGTATAAATGTGTTGTCTGATTACCGTGTTGTATAATGACATGTTACTCTAAAACGTGTTGTAAAATAGCATGTTACTGTACAAATGTGTTGTATGATTACCTTGTTGTACGATGACCTGTTACTCTAAAACGTGGTGTATGATGACATGCTACTGTTTAAATGTGTTGTATGATTACTGTGTTGTATGATGACATGTGACTGTATAAATGTGTTGTATGATTACCGTGTTGTATGATGACATGTTACTGTATAAATGTGTTGTATGATGACCTGTTACTGTATAAATGTGTTGTCTGATTACCGTGTTGTATAATGACATGTTACTCTAAAACGTGTTGTAAAATAGCATGTTACTGTACAAATGTGTTGTATGATTACCGTGTTGTACAATGACATGTAACTATAGAAATGTGTTATATGATTACCGTGTTGTACAATGGCATGTAACTGTAGAAATGTGTTGTATGATTACCGTGTTGTATGATTACCGTGTTGTATGATGACATGTTACTGTAGAAATGTGTTGTATGATTACCGTGTTGTATGATGACCTGTTATTGTATAAAGGTGTTGTCTAGTTACATCTTACTTTATGGGTGTTTTCTCTAAAAATATGATATTATATAGACATGATGTTCAATGAAATATTACCGTATGGGCGTGTTTAATGAAAGTGTTGAATATATACAGCCGATGAATGTGTTTTGTGGATTGTTTGTATTATAGTTTTGGTTAGCATATTAGCAAACAAAGTTGATTACACATAAGTTTTACATGGTGAGAAGTATATAAATATGTCATATACTTACAGTATACAGGTTTTTTTGAACATATAACCGGTTTTAAATATCATAAGCTATGCAACAATTATTTAAATAAAATCAATGAATTTGTAAGAGTGAGACAAGTTATGTGTTAGTTCATCGTTATACGTCGTAAATGTAAAATTCAATCTAACTTTTTGAGACAGCCTGCAGTGAAAACAATAAGCCACAAGACAGACCGTCCGACAGTCGGACGCGTTTCTGTCGAGAACAGGTTGTAAGTGAGACCAGGCTAGATTATTGTTTGTTAGAGTGAGATATGACATAGTTATGGGTATGTCGTCGTTATACGTCGTAACTTCCTCCTGCGTGATTTCCTGATATATCTTCATATTGTTATGTATTCCTTGATCTGACGGTAGACATCATGACGAGTGACACATTTTGTCAAGAAATATATAAGATCCGGAACACCTCGCCCAGGTTTCTTTTGTTGGGTTTCTGTTTTGTCTACTTTCATGTTCAATTTTACAGAATTTACTTTCGTTGGAGTTTCTTTTGTCTCCTCTTCGTTTGCTTGTTTGTTTTTGTTTTTTTGTTTTTTGTCTCCGTTTCTTTTCAAGGTTTTTTGGTGCGCTTTTTTGCCCCCGTTATTTTTGTAGGAGTTTTTTCGTCCGTTTTCTTTTGTTGGAGTTCGTTTGATCACTTCAGTTGGGGTTGTTTTGTCTATTTATCTTTAGTTGGGGTTGTTTTGTCTATTT